GCAGGTTAATTTAGTTATATATAAATTAATGTGCTTATGGCTGGGTCTTATGATCCCCAGACCACGAGGTCACCCCTAAAATCAGGGCTACTAAATAAATACAATACTACTTTTGTTTTTGTTCAGTAGAGAAAGCCATCCTATCCATCGGAGATGGATAGATCATTTCCCTCAACTCCTAGCTTCTCATTTTCTGAAAACGAAATTAGATGTTTTTAATTCATTTCAGGACATAACCGGAAGCTAAAAGTTGCTAAATTGGAGTTTCAGTTTTCTTTCCGAGACCCTTCCGAATTCTGGAATCCGGACAAAGAGCGGTCTTATCGACCTACAGGAAGGTTGACTAAATCCTCCTAATAACCTTCCTGATTGTCGGGAAATTTTCGATACCGATTGTACAGTTACAATCGTTACAATTCGGAAGGGCCTTCCGTTAACGTCGTCAAAAATAATTCTGTCGTTCGCTATAATTTCTCGTGCGTCTTTTCTGTGTCAGCGAAAATCGTTCCTCTCCTGTTTTCTCTCATTTTCAGTTACTGCGGAATTTCAAGGTCTTCAGAGAGAATTGTTTAAATTATCACTTCTGATTGACCTTTCCTGATTCGTCAAACTGTACGAGTAGCAGAGATAATCTATCAAAACTGCCAATTTTCCTACTCGAATGTCACAAAAAAAAGTTTTGACGTTGCCATGAATTTTGGCGCCATTCTTTCTCACATTTTGTCCTTGATTCACTGTCAGTAGCTGCGCTCTCCTTGGCTTCGTAGATCACAATGTCCTTTTTTCGGTTTTCTTCAGCTTCTCTCTTTTGTTCTTTTGTTGCTTCTATGATTACCTCTTTCAAAGATTTCACTTTCCGATTTTTAACTTCTTTCCAAACTCTTGTCTGTTCATCAACTGTTATATGCAACTGGACATTGCAACCCGGTGCAGAAAGTCAGCTCAGCTATCAAGTGATGGGGCAAACCCTTGTGTGAAACACAAGCCTAAACTCTCTCCTTCAAACTGAAGAACAGAAATCTTTGCGCTGTAGGAAACAAGAATCAAAGAGACCAAAAATGAGTTCATTTTGTGTACAGCCGGAGTCGCGAAACGAATTGATGCACACATGGGTTTCCGAAATCCTAAAAGCCTAAAAACTGATTCTTAGCCCTCTTGTGGAAACACGGCAATGAACGATTTTCAAGCAGCTATATGTGCATATGGCAACTATGCAGCGAATGTGCAAAATGTCGAAACACATGGACAAGCTTCTGATAAACATGAAAAGGGATCAAAAATGACATGAAAAGTGATGACATGATTGATATTCTTGACTTTTCCAAACTTGTCAATCCGGCTGTTCTGGTGGGCGAAGTCCCATTTGTACCAACGTTCACTTGTAGCAAAATGAAAAATCGGTCCCATTTGTACCAAAATTTTGCTCATTGGAGATGGCAAAATACCCGAACCACTAAGACCTTTCTTTTTTGGCGCAAAGCTTATCGCCCTCATAAAGATAGACGGAGGGTTGAGACCGATTGCCATAGGCAACACGCCGAGATGTATCGCGTCTAAATGCGCTGGAAGCAAGGCCCTCTCCGAGCGACAAAATTTTTTCGGAAACGTACAGGTAGGATGCGGTACCAAACGAGGAGCAGAAATAGCTGCGCACTCGTTTCGAAACCTAATTGAACGCGACGACAATCCAAAATGCACTGTTATTTTAAAACTAGATTTTAAGAATGCCTTTCACTCTTTAAACAGAGAAACAATGCTGAATCATGTTTATTCAAATCGCCCCGAATTGTATAATTACACCCATTGCGCGTATGGTAAACCTAGTTACCTTTTTTACGGAAGCTCTGTCATAATGTCAGAAGACGGAACTCAGCAAGGTGATCGTGAAGACCCCCCCTTTTTGCGGAAAGAATTCATACACTAGTCAAACAGTTGGAGTCGAAAATTAACATCTGGTATTTAGATGATGGGAATTTAGCCGACGACTATAAGGTAGTACTCCGGGACCTTAAAAACATTCTGAAATCGGAACAAATTTACGGCCTGAGCTTAAGCACTGAGAAGTGTGAACTTTGTTTTTTGGAACCGACTATTAGTACACAGTATAATTCAATTTTAACACAATTTCGAAAAGTATGCCCCAAAATAAAAATAAAAACAAAAGATGAACTCCTCATTTTAGGATCTCCAATCGGCGAACTTTGCCGAAAAGAATGGCTCGACAAAAAAATTAAGGAGCTTGAAAAAATCTCGGATGTCATTGACAAACTAGACGCCCATTATGGTTTTTACCTCCTGAAAAATTGCTTTAGCATGCCGAAACTCCTATATTTTTTGCGTACGAGCCCTTGTTTTTTGCAAAATTATTTTTTGGAACGCTACGATAAATTACTAAAAAATTCGTTATGCAAGGTCACTAACGTGAAAATGGATGATAACCAGTTTTTACAAGCAGTTCTCCTGGCAGCCAAAGGTGGCTTGGGCATTTCTTCCGCTCGTCTACTCGCTTTACCCGCTTTCTTAGCCTCAGCAGTAGGAGCGAAAGATGCCTTGAGCGAAATCTTTGGTTTGGAGCATGTGGATGGAACCTATGATGATGCGCTTAAACGGTGGTTTGACCTTGGAAAAATTGAAATGGCTCCGGAAAATGAAATCCAAAAAAATTGGACGGAGCCAATTTTTGACAGCGAAATTGCAGACTTGATTTTACGACTCGAACCAACGGACGTAAAAAGGTTCAACGCGTTCCAAGATAGATTTGGCTCCCAATGGTTGAACGTCATCCCGTGCAAAAATTTAAGGTTAAAACTGTCGAACCAACAATTCAGAATTGCGATAGGACTTCGGTTAGGATCAAAAATATGCGAACGGCATAAATGCGTGTGCGGAAAAGACGTTGCCGAGGATGGTTGGCATGGTCTTTCTTGCCTCAAAAGTGCAGGGAGATTCTCTAGACATTCAAACCTGAATGCCCTCATAAAGCAGAGTCTATCATCTACTCACATTCCGTCTGTTTTTGTGCCATTCTGCCAGATGGCACAGCGCAACCTTCCGGTGACACGAAAAAGAACGAGAAAAGGCCTTATTAAAGAAAAAGTATTGCGAAGGAGGGTAGGAATCGAAAAGGGAATATTTCTCAGAAATACGAAAAACGGCCATTTTGACGAAAAACGACGAAAAAAAACAGAAGAACGACAAATATTGTGGAAGACGGTCGCACAAGAGACGAGAAATACGAAGCTTCTTATCGTGGCAACAACACACGATAAGACCCCTATCAGTGGATATTAGTGGAGAAGGAGGCTTCAGTGGGGAAGGAATATTCCACGGAACCCTCCCGTACCACAAATTGGAAGAGATAAGAACGTTATCTCAGGAAGATTACGGGAGCGGAGGCTTGGTCCCCCAGAGACTGTTTTATGTGAAGGGACTGTATAAAACTAACTTTGTAGCTACTTGGATGTCGTAGAAGTCTGAATTAACACCGGTATAATTTGATGTTTTGGAATATGAGTAGCTAGAAAGAGGAAAGGATCAATCCATCTCCAATGGATTTAATATAGAACTGTCACACAAAAACATGTTAAAATAGGTTGTTCGAGCCGTGTTTTTAATGACAATCACGTAGTCTGAGGATCCGAGACTCAGCTATGTGGTTGTGTTTGCATGTAAACGAAAGCTGATCAAAAGTCGTTTGACTGATGGCCTAAAAATAGTAACTTTTTACTTAGCCCTAAACAGACCAGAAAATCAACTGGCAAGGTCGAGACGGTGAAAAACGAGTAGGATTAAGGTAACTGACGCCTGCCAGTCGTTAATAGGTACTTTTTCTACGCTCCGTCGCTGTGTAGTATTTGGGCGAATGTTACATTTAGAACCACGACACCTCTACAGGACCGATCAGAAGCGACCAGACGGTTTGACGCTCGTTCCATGGGCTGATGGTAAGCAGCTCTTGTGGGATGTAACGGTAGTAGACTCCTTTGCTCCTTGTAGGATTAATGCCGGGTCTGTTTGATACCCTGGTACGGCTGCCGCTGAAGCGGAAGAGCGAAAAATTGACAAGTATAAAGATCTTATAAATGATGGATATCTTTTTCAACCGCTAGCTTTTGAAATTCAGGGAGCTGCCGGCACCAGCAAAGAAGTTTTTTTGAGCAAGCTTTGTAAGAACCTAAGCATATGCTTTGAGGAACCCAGAGCAGGCAGCTTTTTAAATTAGAGAATCTCCCTGGCAATACAGATTGCGAACGCCGCTTGCGTACTCGGAACAATAAATGACAAAATAACTTTCGACGAAATTTTTTTACTTGTAACACTTGTATATTATATTGTCTCGTGTCGAGTTGCGTGTTCTTATTGAAGAAACGTAACCCGTATCGATTTTAATTGAAAAGGACTTAAACACTTGTCATCTTCTTTTATCATTATCACTTCCATTTCTAGAAAATTCCAAGGATTTTGACTGGAATACATGATGAAGGGACTCATGACTGTAACCTCGGTTACTATGATACTTTTGACCTTCTGATTAACTTTAAAAAAAAAAAAAAAAAAAAATTATTCAACTCGTTTTCTGATTGGTCGAATTTTGAGCCAACGAATTATTGCAATAATTTTCTACTGTTCAAACAGAAGAAAGCTAAGCAGCAGAATAGTGAAGGCCTCAGTCGCGCCAACGTGTTGCGAGCTTGCCAACAGAGGGTAGGACTCTATACGAAAATCAGAGCCGGTTATCGCCGCGAAGCGGCGACGCGCGCGTAGCCGCCCACCGGCGACCTTAAACCGAGACTTTGGCCAATTGGAGATCTTCGGCCAATTGAATATTTTTGGTACTAGCGCGATTGATTTTTCATTTTGGTACAATTGGGACTGATTTATCATTTTGGTACTTGTGAATACCCACCGTTGTCTGATCTTTGATTTTCTTTTTGCTCGACATAACTGAACATGTCGGGTCCAATTCGAATTTCGATCCATTTTTTTTTGCGTTTTAGATCAGCATGCTAAGATGAGTATCAAGAATCTGAGATGGCTGTGTCTATTTCAAAGCTTAAGGACGCCAGTACTCTCAAACGTGTTCTGTTGCTCAATTTTTTTGTGGTGGCTCTACAATAACTACATATTCTACTTTGTAATATTTCCGCAGACAGATGTTTTACCTCAAAGTTTGCCGATTATTTGCTTAAATGGAATGTTTACGTTTGCTTCTTTGATGTGCTTGTTATCGTTTTTCCGATCGATAAGATCATCACCTGGAGTGTGTTCTAAAGATTACCGTTTTATTCTGGAAGAAAAAGTGAGTTATGCATCTGGTATCTCACCTTAACCGGTTTTCCTTTTTTCTAGAAATATCTTTCACACAACCGGTAGCAAGTGTATTGCAACCTGCTACTAGCTACCAGACTTTTTACCCGTATAAAAATTGTTCTCAAGATAAAATTAACCCTGCAAACGTGGCCGAAATGGTTTTCGAACGCATGATCCTTAAGACGAGAAGCCGACCACTGCTTCCTTTTTATCTCCGCTGAACAGTCCAGCTTGCCAAAATTTGAGTGTGTTCGCATCTCAAACCATCTCTCCCCATTCGAAATTTTTTCTCTAGGTTCTAGATTTATCAGCTCCGGTTCTGTAGAACTTTAATTTTCGCCGTTTTTATTTTTTACTCAAAAAATTCTATATTCAGCTAAACAGGTTGTGGTTCATATAACAGCTTATTGGCCAAATATTGCATCTGTTATCTGTCAAAATTATTTCTTCATGTTGATTGGTTTTCAATTTGAACAAGATTATAATTCAAATTTTTTTGAATAGCCCGAGCTGAGTTTTTTTTTCCACACGAGAACCTTTGGCGGAGCGTAAAATCTCATCGTACAAGAGCGACAGCCCACTAGAGTTTGTTAAAGATATCTTATTCCTCAACAGTGGTATACCTAATTCCTAATACCAGTATTCAGTATAGGAAAGGGGACAATTTCCAATGTTGAATTTTGTACTTTTTTTTGCATTTTTGACGACTAAAGTTCCAGTACTGATCACACGGGGTCACAAGGGCTCAATCTTCAAACAATTAGACAAGGTCGTTGCCAGTTGTTCCGGAAAATGCTTTTAAGCACTAAAAGGAGTCTGGAGGGGTTTACTCAAAGAAAAATGTAAATTAAATACGCGGTCATATAAGGTCATGTAAATGAAGGAGTTATATAGTATAGAAAAGTTCTTCTAGGGATTCAACTTCTCGGATTGTGCCCAGAATACAGGCGGAATTGGCAGTTTGAATAGCAATGGATATCCGTTGTTTTAAAAACATAGCCGCGCGTGGCTCTTTTGTGGCACTCAAAGTGGATTTTTTCTATGGTGATGTCTAGTATTCGTGTTGTAGCTACATCGATGTCTCCTTTGAACTTCTGATTGAATTGCAGAGATCGATTATGTTTGAGTGATAGAGAGAGAAAGAGAGTAAGAGAGTTTTCTATTATTGCAGTTCCCTCATGGTTTCTAGCGGCAAAACCGACTTAGAAGGGGAACCACCTGTTCCAGTGATAGCGTCTTTGTGCTGGTGTTGACACCTCCTCTCTGTATAGCACACTCAAGAGGGAGGTTTGGTGTGGAGAAAGAATGTCCTTTCTAGGGACCAGGTTTTTTTTGGCGTGTAGAGAACTGAGTGAAACTCCATGCCCGGTTTAAGCGAGCAGTTTTTAGTCAGTGGGGAGAACCGAAAAAAACTCCCGTGACGTGAGGTTATGAGTTAGGCTGCAGGTATTTGGTAATTTTTTTGGGAGTCTCCCATAAGCTCTCGATTGTAAGGGAGGTAGGGTGTAACCGGCAATTAACGAGATATTCGGCGGTGTGTGGTCGTATGTAACAGTTCGGCAGACGTCGAGTACATTGCTGTCCGGTCTGTGATGGTAACTATCTAGATGAGTTGAGTACCCGGATCTAAGTGGTGACAGTGTACATCTAGTTTTCCGGTTAAGCTTACTTTCGTTTTCTGATTTTATTGGTGGTATTCTGTCAAGTAGCTTTGATTTTTCGCTAAGTAATTTTTGTACATCTTATGCGAAGTTGTTTCATTCCTCTTAAATAATCATGCTTAGAGATGCTCTCCTGGTTTTCGATAAGCAGGTGTTCAATATCGGGCTTGAGCTTATGTTCAAAAGTGGATCTGATGTTGCGATGGAAACCTTTGTGGTTGACAGTATGATAGTCGGCTCTATGGTCTTGGTAGCAGCCGAGAAGAAACTGCTCTGAGTGCATTTCATTGTGTTTTCAAACCGGAATGTAGATTTTTGTTTCGTCGTGTAGATGTGTGATGTCAATCATTCGGAAACACCGTGTTGTTGTTCCTGGGAGGATAAAACTGAGCCGGTAGGATAAGTGTTGGGGATAAAACTGAGCCTTGAGGGACGCCTGTACAAACAATCCTAGCGTCCCTGAACATAGTATTTGATGGACGCCGACTAAGGTTGTTCGACAACCACTTGATTAGGCTTTCCGGTACGCTGGTGCGATAAAAGAGATCCAGGAGGGTGCAATGGCTGACCATGTCAGAAGCTTTTGATAAATCAACTGTGGCCAGAACTGTCCTATTTGGGCGCCTTTGTTGATCAAAACGGTGGCTGATAAAAAAAATTCAAGAGTAAAAAGTGGGATAATGGAATGCATCGAGTAAAAGCCATGCTGATGATCGGCTTTGGGTAGGGGAGTGTGGATCAAGGTTGTAAAATTTCGACTGCTAGGCTTAAAATCGGCACTAGGCGGTATGAGTCTGAACTGTTGGGATCTTCCTTTGCTTTAGTAAGAAATACCTCTAGAAATTTTCCTATTTTGGGAAATTTTGTTCAGAAAGAGGAAAAATAAAAATATCTTTTACAAAAGCGATTGCTATTGGTCCGATATTTTTAAAGTGGACTGTGCATAGACCATAAGGTTCTTATGCTTCTGATGGCTTTGCCGGTTTGATGTGTTCTAATTTTCGAGGGGGTAAAACGTAGTGATCCTTGACGCTAGTTTTAACGGCTTTTCTCTTAGTTGCTCTTTGAGATTTAACACTACTGGAAGTTTTCAATTTAGTATTTTGCACGTTAGAAGCATTTGCAATGTCAACCGGCCGAGAAAATAAACCTGCGATGTGCAAAACCAATCTGCCATTTAATGACCGGACCACTTTCCAGAACTTACTGGACGACGTATGGCGATTTAAAGTCTGGAGGAGTTCCCGCCATTCGTTTTTGTCTTGGGAAGTTTTGGCCATGGCTTCTTTGTTTACCACATTTAAAGCTGTTTTGAACTTAATGAGCAAGTTTCTTTGTTTCTTCTTCGAGAGCAGGAAAAAAGAAATGATGCCGGCCTGCGTGACGTGCTGTAGCAAGTATCGTGTCATGAAAGGTCCGATCTGTCTTGTTTGCATCGTGCTGCCTTTGTTTCTTTGCTACACTCAAGTCATTGATATAACTTTTTGTGTGTGCCTTTTGTAAATTGATAAAAGTTCTGTGGCGGAGCAAACGGTATGTTTTCTGCAATTGGAAGGGTAATTAAAAGTACGAGAAGGTCCGAGCCAAGCTTTAAAAATGTTTGCAATGAAAGATTTATTAAAATAGACGGCGAGGCCAGTGAAAGATCTGGGGATGATACTGACATGTTGCTATCGTATGGGAGCCTAGTTTGATGATGGTCGTTTTTTGGAGTAAAAGTGGATTCAATATCTTTGGCTCCGAGCCTGGCCTCACGGTGGTCTTTGGGGATATTGGAGAAGCAAAGAGGGGGAGTGGGCATTAGCGTCACCGAGGACGATACTGTTTTTTATCGGAAAAAAATAACATGGGTGCTTTAAAGCCTTTGGGGCAGCTAGAGCTGGGAGAGATGTAGAAATTTGTGATACGGAGAGTTTGGTTGATGGCCTTTACCAGTACATTGCGCCTCCAAAATTCCGTCTTCCACTGTTTAATGCTTCGTATAGAAGCGAGTTATGTATGGCAGTATGGAGTCCACCTCGCTCTCGGGTACGAGCCTTTTGAATTGTTGAATAGTTTGGGCCCAGCGAGGGAGTGCAATTTTTCAAGTTTCATTTTGTGTTTTGAAAAACCGCGATGTGTATCTGGTGTTCAAACAATAAGGCTGCATTTTCGAGTGTTTTCCCAGAGGTGCCATTCTTTTTTAATTATAGAATGTTCAGGGACGTGGTACTGAGAGGGTTTGCTTGGGTAATTGGGGCGTTCGTTGCATTACGCAGATCTGAGTCATGACGCAAATTTGGAGTTGGATTGGTTACAAGGAGAGGTGTTATCATTGGAAGGGAAATATTTGTTGGAGGGTGATTTTTTATGGGCTGGCGAGTAAGGTTAGTATTGTTAGTCCCTGGAGAAGGCAGTATATAGGATTCAGTACAAGAGGGTAGTAAAAATCTCTATTGTGCTCTTTGAGCCGTTTAAGACCAATATTTTTAAATTGGATATAACCACATACGTGGCATCAGACGCTTGCTTGGGCCGATAAAATTTTTTGTTTGCATGGGGATCAGGTGAAGCGTCTAGAGTTAGGGGTAATGAGGGCACGAAGAATGATTAAAATTCATAGACGGAGCGTTTGGACTGGCTTAGAAAGCTCCGAAACTGGAAACCCGGGTAGATAATCTTCGCGCACCCCTGTATGGGGACGGTTGGGTAGTGCCATTTGTGGCTGTATATACAGCGCGTTGAGTCCACCACTTGAAAGCGGCACTTCTGGACCCAGTTCAGGACACTTTTGTCAATTGCCTTGTAAGTTACTTTGAGTGTTTCTTTGGAGCAAGTTTTTTGTGATTTTGGAGTTTCTAGCAGGTCTTATTGCTATGTTCAGGGAAATTCAGTTGGTTGTCAGAAGTAACTCCTAGTTTCACAGGGTTGACTGTTGTGTGTAGTTTAGCATCAACGTTTACATTGGGTTCAAGGGAAAAATCAGTAGTGCATTTTGAAAAATAGATGTTGATTTGTCTTTTGATAAAGATAGATTTCTGATCTTAAGCCAGATGTTAAGGCTGTTTAGATTTGAACTCATTATTTCTGTGTAATATTTTTGTTAAGCGCTTGCGTTGTGAGGGTTATATCGTCTGCATTGCTCCTCATTTTTGCGATGTTATCATAGTTTGGTAGGGGCATTTGTCTATGTTGAGGTTAAATAGTACCGGGATAATACATCACCTTGTTTATTCTTCCTGAGTTTTGATTTGGTGTCTCTGAATTCTACACAAGTGTGCATTCCGCGCAGGTATGCAAGAATCCATCTTTTGGTTTTTTAAGTCTGAGCTGGCAATATTGTTGGGTA